AATGATAATAACAATAATAATGATAATAATAATAATAATAATAATAATGAAGATAATAATATAATAATGATATTAACAATGATAATGATGATGACCGTAATGATGATGATAATAATAATACTAATGACAATAATAATAATAAAAAAAGATAATTACAATTATAAGAATGATGATGATAATAACAATGATGATAATAATAACGGCAATAATAATAATAATAATAATAATAATAATACTGCTACTATACTACTAATAATAATGATTAAGTTAATGGTAAGGATAATGATAACAGTAATGATAAAAGTAATAACAATAATAATTCTAAAATAATGATAATAATGATAATAATGATAATAGTAAGAGTAATAACAATAATAATAATAATAATAATAATAATAATAATAATAATAATGATAATAATAATAATATTAATAACAATAGTATTAACAATAATAATTCTGAATAATGGAAATAATGATAATAGTAGTAGTAATAATAATAATGATAATAATGATAATAACAATAATGATAACAATAATGATGATAATAATAGTAATAATAATAATAATAATAATAGTAATAATAATAATAATAATAATAATAATAATAATAATAATAATACCGATAATAATAATGCTCATAGTAACAATAATAATAATAAAGAAATAGAAAAAAGACTAACACTAATCGTCATCATAACTATAATCATTATCATCTTCAGAATAATAAAAGAAATTAAAATAAAGATAATAGTAACACTAACAATATTACTACTACTAATAGTGATGATGGTGATACTACTACTACTAATGATAATGATAATAATAATAATGATAAAAGAAGACAAAAAAAATAATAATAAAGTAATAATAATGATAAAAGAAGACAAAAAAAACAACAATAAAAATCGTAATGTGAACAGTAGATAAAAAAATGTTTGTGTGTGTGTGTGTGTGTGTGTGTGTGTGTGTGTGTGTCTGTGTGATAAAAGACGGACTTTAGCAAAACAAAAAATAAACAACCAAACAAACAAAAAAAAGTGAATACGTGAATGAATGAATGAATGAGCATATAAGCAGATAAAAGTATAAACAAGTAAAAAAATAAATGAAAATATAATAGAGAGGAAGGAGAAACTAATGCATTTTTAATGAACGACTCTTACAGGCTAGTTATTTCAAGTAATGAGGTTGTTAAAGAACGTATTTTAATTTTGAGGAAACGGGGAAACTTTACCGTTATTTTATTTTTCTCAGAAATTTACGGCGGAATTGTCATGCTCGTTTTTTCATTATTATTATTATTATTATTATTATTATTATTATTATTATTATTATTATTATCATTATTATTATTATTATTATTATCTCTCTCTCTCAGCATCATTGTTTTTTTTCTGTTGTACACACACGCGTGCGCGCACACACACACACACACACACACACACACACACACACACACATACACACACACACACACACACACACACGCACACACACGTATGCACACATAAACACAAACACACATACGCACACACACACACATAAACACAGACACACATACACAAACACTCACAATACTGTATATATAATAAACATTCTTATGATTTTGTCACTGTCATTTACATAAGTATAGCATTACTGGTTGTAACGGTTGGCATAATAATAATGATGATAATAATGGTGATAATCAGATATTGATGTTGATAATGATGATTATGATAATGAAGATAATGATTACGGTCATAATTACTAGTGTTATAATGATGATGATGATAATGATGATTATATTAAGGATAATGATTTTGATAATTATTGTAGTACTACTACTATTGATAATGATAATAGTAGTAATAATAATAATGATGACAGTAATGTTAATATTTATGATGATAATTATAATAATGAAAATAATAATGATAAGTATAATAACGGAAATAATAACATTAATGATGAAAATAATGATAATAACAGTTATAACAATATTAACAACAACAACAATAATAATAATAGTAATAACAACAATAATGATGCCAACAATACTACTACTGCTACTAATTATAATAATAATGATGATGATGATATTAATAGTGATAATACTAACTATGATAATAATAATAGTATAATAATAATAAAATAATAATGAAATAATAATAATGATAACAATAAGAATAATTGTAATTATGGTAATAATAAGGATTAATGTTACTAATAATAACAACAATACTACTAATAATAATGATAATGATGATCATAATAATATTACTAGTAATATTATAATAATGATGAAAATAATAATGATAACGATAATGAAAATAATAATTATGATAAATATAATAGTGATATTAATATAATGTCTTTCATAATTTTGATAACAATGATAATAATGATAAAAATAAAAGGAATAAAAATAACAATGAGAGTAATAGCATTAATGATAATAACAATATCATCATAAAAGAATATTAAAAAATGATAATGATGATGATAATTATAAAAGTAACTATGAAAATAATAATAATAAATAATACTAGCAAAGCTAACAATACCAACAACAATAATAATAAAAATAACAACTACAACAACAATAATAGTGAGGATAATGATAACAGTGACAACAATTATAATAAAGGTAATGATAATAGTAAAAATAATAATGATAATAAAAAATAAATAAATGATAACAATGACGACAGTGACAATAACAATAATAAAAATAACAATAATAATGAAAATACTACTACTACTACTAATAGTAATAATAATAAAGAAATAACAATGATAATAATAGCAAGAACTAAAAAAATAATAATGGTAATAATAAAAACAATAATAATAGCATTACTAATGACAGAATTTATAATAACAACAATAATGATAATAATATTAATAATAATAATGATAATGATGATGATGATGGTAATAACAATAATGATAATGATAATAATGTTAATATAATAATAATGATAATGATAATGATAATAATGTTAATATAATAATAATGATAATGATAATGATAATAATAGTAATGAGTATTATTCTATCAATGAGCATAGCAATAATGATTATGATAATAGTAATAATAGTAATAACAGTAATGATCACAATAATGATAATGAAAATAATAATGATAATGATAATAATAATAGTAATAATAATAATAATAATAATAATAATAGTAATAATAATGATAATAATAATAATGATAAAAGTAATAATAATAATAATGATAATGATAGTAATAAGAGTACAAACATTTTTAAGAATTAAAAAAATAATGATAATGATAATAATAATAATAATAACATTTTAGATATAGAGATTATAATAATAATGATGATAATTAAGTGAGAGTAATAATAATCATAACAAAATAATGACGATGGTGATAATATCAATAATAGCGATAATAATAATAGAAATAATAGTAGTAATATAATAATAATAATAAAAATAATGGTAATAATAATAATAATGAAAATCAATGGTGAGGATGATGATGATGATGATGATGATGATAATAATAATAAAATATCATTATTAGTAATAGTAATAATGATAGTGGTGATGATGAAATTGATGTTAAAGACAACGATAATAATAGTGATGATAATCATAAGCATGGTAATGATGATATTATCATTCGTCTTATTATCACCATTATTATTTTTATCACCATCATTATCATTATTAATGCTAATGAAAAAAAATCTCGTTAATATTTATAACGTAACAAGAACAAGAACAAAATAAACAATATCAACAATATAAAAAAAAAACAGTAGTAATTATAATGATGACAATAAATTCAAGATTGAAAATAAATAATCAATGAAAAACCTGATTCATGTTTCTTTTACCCAACATGTTATATACACGTTACACACAGCTTTCTTTACTGCGCACTAAGTAATGATATCAAGAACTAGGTGTTGCTCATTAATTTTAATTATTCCAGCATATTCAAGTCTTGTTCGTGGGTTATGTTTCTCTCTAAAAAAAAAAATATGTGTACGTTTTGTCCAATTAAGGGTATGGATAATTAATATACATGGACCTCTTCTATTGGAAATGATTGAATAAGAAATGAGAATAGAAACAGAGAGAAAAAAGAGAAATGTTCATTTCCGAGAGGGAACTCATTACTTCAGCTGAGTGTCTGGAGGTGAAGTGAGGCAACAAAGGCAATAATAGTCTCTTCATTGCTTCGTGTTTTTGTTTTTTTTTTGTTGTTTTTTACCTGAAGGAGAAAAAAAAAATCTTCAGGGCAGGTACACAGCGTCCTACCAGTGTGTTTAAAGTTGTAGGAAAGCATTTGCAATGTTTACGAAACCATGACTGACACTCTCGGCAGGCTGGTGGAGAATCCTGGGTACTTGGCACTTGCTGGCACTCTCTCCTAGATCACTGGCACCGTCGCCGACTACAGCACTGGCTATGACCCACTCCATTAACAGTTATCTGATTTTCGGTGGCCGTCTATCAATTCCAGGATTTAAGACACACGCTCCGGTAAAATTCATGTATGAACTTGCGGATCATATATCTATATATATTATGTCTTGGCACTAACACTGTCTCTGGCACTGGCACATATACACTCTCTGCGTCACCGGTACATTTAGGTGTGTGTACCTTTTCGGAGAGTATTTATTCTCTCTTATCAAACACGATCTACATCATTTTTATTATTTTTTTATTTTTGGTTATTTTTCGTCTATTTTCTCAACCGAGGAGATATTTTTCCACTGGGGCGCCATCTCTAAAGCACCACCTAACGGTACAGACACACACGCACACGCACACGCACAACCCTTCACCAATACACGACTGTATTCGCGACGTACACCAATCTATATCTCGTTTCCGCACGCTTGCATAAAACCGAAAAAAAAGAAAGAAAGAAAAAGAAAATAATCAAAATCGAAGTTGATATTATCATTTTTCCTTTTCATTTTTTTTTTTGAAACGCAATTTTCCCATCTTCGCGTCCACACCCACCTGAGGCTAGAGACTTGGACTTAGCAACGATGGCGATGGCAAGGGAGGTGGCACTGTAAGGCACCTCCGCCAGGGCACCAAAATATCGCCGAGAGGGTTTCTGGTGCCCGCCCTGCCCTCTGCCGGCCGTCTCAGGACTTTCGGCTGATATGAGAGTCGAGAGGGAGGGAGTAGGGGGGGGGCACGAGGGGAAAGGAGGGGGGTGGGGGCACGAGGGGAAAGGAGGGGGTAGGGGGTGGGGCACAAGGGGAAAGGAGGGGGTAGGGGTTGGGGCACGAGGGGAAAGGAGGGGGTGGGGGGTGTGGGGCATGAGGGGAAAGGAGGGAGGGGAGGGGGAGAGGGCACGGGGAAAGGGAGAGGAGAGTGGGCTTGGGAGGGGACACGAGGGGGAGGAGGAGGGGTAGACAGGTAAGGGGAAAGGGCCCTCGGGAGAAGGGTAGGGACCACGGGCATAGGAGAGGAAGGTGGGTAGCCGAGGGAAGGGGCACGAGCGAGGGGGCGGAGAGGGGAGAGGGGGGAGGAGTGGCACCAGTGGAGGGTACGAGCGAGAGGGGAGAGGGGGGGGAGGGGTGGCACCAGTAGAGGGCACGAGCGAGAGGGGAGAGGGGGGGGGGAGGGGTGGCACCAGTAGAGGGCACGAGCGAGAGGGGAGGGGGGGAGGGATGGCACCAGTTGAGGGTACCTGCGAGGGGCGAGAGGGGAGAGGGGGGGCGTGGCACCAGTGGAGGGTACGAGCGAGGGGTTACGGGCACCACGGGATTAGTCCGGAGGGAGGCTGAGAGGGCAGAGGGGAAAGGAAGGGGAGAGGGAGGAGTACCTGCCGACCGCCCCTGCCAGAAAAAGAGCCGACTCCAAATGATAACTGGGATTCGGTTAAGAGGAAGAGTGAGAGGAAGAGCAAGAGTGACGGTAAGAGTGAGAGGAGGAGCAACGATAAGATTGAGAGTGAGAGGAGGAGAAAGAGTGACGGTAAGAGTGAGAGTGAGAGTAAGAGTGAGAGTGAGAGGAGGAGAAAGAGTAACGCTAAAGTGAGAGTGAGAGGAGGAGAAAGAGTGACGGTAAGAGTGAGGGGAAGAGAAAGAGTAACGGTAAGATAAGGAGTATGGATAGTAGTAAGAGTAAAAATAAGAGTGAGACTAAGAGTGTAAGTGAGAATGAGAGTGCATGTGAGTGTGAGAGCGAGAATAAGAGTAAAAAAAGTAAAAGGAGTAACGATGATAATGAGAATGAGAGTAAGAGTGAAGATAAGTGCGCGAGTGAGAGTGACAGTAAGAATGAGAGTAAGAAAAATAATGAGACTGAGAGTGAGATAGAGAAAGAGAAAGAGAATGAGAGTGATAATAAGAACAAGAGAGAGCGAGAATAAGAGGAAGAGAAAAACGAAGATAAGCATAAAAGAGCGAGTAAGAAGCAAGAGTAAGAAAGAAAATCAGGAAGAAAATAGATAATTCGAAGACTGCAGAGAGAGAGAGAGAGAGAGAGAGAGAGAGAGAGAGAGAGAGAGAGAGAGAGAGAGAGAGAGAGAGAGAGGGGGGGGGGGGGGGGGGGGGGGGGGGGGGGGGGGGGGGAGGGGAGAGAGACAGAGAGAAGGAGAAAGAGAAAGAGAGAGAAAGACAGAGGGACAGACAGAGAGAGAGAGAGAGAGAGAGAGAGAGAGGGGGGGGGGAGAGGGGGAGAGAGAGAGGGGGGGGAGAGAGAGAGAGAGAGAGAGAGAGAGAGAGAGAGAGAGAGAGAGAGAGAGAGAGAGAGAGAGAGAAAGAGAGAGAGAAGGAAAATAAATGAACATCGCGGGTTTATGAACATGTTCAGACAGGCTCAACGCCCTCACACGTACCTCACGCCCCAGTTTCCTTCTGAGATATTCATGGCGTCAGTTCCTTTATTAATGAAGTCAGTCGGATGAGTCTCTCTGCTGCGTCAGATTTCGTAGAATACTTCTGAAACACGAATGCAAATTCAGTTACTTGAGTGTTCATGATTTTCTTATAAATCCTGACTTTGATTTCATCCTCACCTACCCATACACACATACACAAACACACATAAACACACACGCGCACACACACACACACACACACACATACACACACACTCAGACACACACACACACTCACACACATATATATATAACGGGATATTCATATATATATATATATATATATATATATATATATATATATATATATATATATATGAACACACACACACACATGTATGTATGTATATATATAGAGTGAGAGATACCTTATATACAAACATACATACATACATATGTATATAAATACATACTTACACACACACACACACACACACACACACATATATATATATAACGGGACATTCCTATGTATATATATGTATATATTCATATATATATGCATATGCATATATGTATCTATATCTATATCTACATATATATATATATATATATATATATATATATATAGTTAGATAGGTATATGGATACACACACACACACATATATATGTATATATATATATATATATATATATATATATATATATATATATATTGAGGCACACACATGTATGTATATATATATACATACACACACACACACACACACACACACACACACACACACACACACACACACACACACACATATATATATATATATATATATATATATATATATGCATATACATATATATACATATATATATATGTGTGTGTGTGTGTGTGTGTATGTGTATGTTTATACATATACATACATATACATACAGATATGTATATATATATATATATATATATATATATATATATATATATATATATATATATGATATAAATACGCCCGCAAACACACACACACACACACACACACACACACACACACACACACACACACACACACACACACACACACACACACACACACACACATATATATAACAACGTGTATAGTAGTTCAGGAGATTAAATAACAGAAAAGTTACAATCGTAAGCGTAAAGATAAAATACGAAATTTCAATATGGAAAAAAGAATTTAGGTGCAATAGATGGTTAAAAGTAATACTAGGATTGAAAAAAAGAGAAAAAAAGTTAAAACGTTAAAAGCAATCGCACCGCACACGAAACATTAAAACTGAAAACCCCTGAACCACTGACTCTGTAAAATACTGAAACAGTGAACCGTTAATACACTGTACTATTGGATCTCTAAAGACTGAACTGTTGAGCTGTTGAATTGATAATTGATATCGAACCACTGAACCGTTAATCCTTCGAACTCTTGAGCTACTGAACCAGTGAATTACTAAGCCGCAGATATTGAAATACGGAACTATTTTCCAACTGACCTCTGAACAAATGAAATCTTGAACGTCTGAACCACTGAACCACTCACTGAACCACTGAACCAGATAGCCATTGATCAATACGAACATTAATCCACTTGGCCACTAACCCTTCGAACCAGTGAATCCTTAAATCACTGAACCATCGAAACACTAAACCCTTGATCTATAATTATGCAAATATCAGTAACTCCAAACGAGATATTTATTCATACCATGCACACAACAGACACGCATGAACGATCAAAACGAAAGCAAAAGAATGCACAAAAGATAACAATAGAGATAACGAAATGAAGTAACAGCGGGAAAAGAGAGAAAGAGAAAAAGAAAAAAAAAAACTTACATCCGGCTGTCTGCTGGGAGAGGCTGACACGCGTCCTATAGAATGTTATAAATGTTATTAAAGAAAAAGTAGGGATAAGATAGAAGGAGATGGGAATAAAATTGAATAAGGAAAAAAAAGTAGAACGTAAGACATGAAGGGGTGGGAGAGAGGAGGAGGAATAAAAGAGGGAAAAACACAGAACGTAAAAAAAGTAAAAAGCAAATGAAAAAGTGAAAGAACGAAATGCGTGGAAGAACAGAAAGAGGGAACAAGGAGAGGAGAACGTGGGGAAGTGGAGATGGATTTGATAATAGGGGAAAAACTGAAAACTTTACATGAAAAAAAACAAACATACATACGCACATATTTACATAAATCTATATATAAATATTTATGTATGTATATATAATTATGTATGTGGACGCACACACCCATACACATACATATGCATATCTCTCTCTCTCTATATATATATGTGTGTGTGTCTCAATTTGTTTATCTATCTACACAATATGTATAGATAATTTATGTATGCATGTATGTATCTATGTATGTGTGTATGTGTGTGTGTGTGTGTGTACACATATATATAACTGCTGAATTTTGTGGAATGTACTACTCGAGCGTGTAGCAGTCATCAATTTTCCATATTTCCGCCTAAAGTGCACATGAATGAATATTCAATCAAAGTCTTTCTATCACATGCAAATCTCGTTTTCTTCACCTCCTCCTCCCCCTGCATCATGTATATATACATTTTCTATAAAATGAACCGGCTTTCTTCTGTGACAGTTAAAAGTGTATTTCCCTCTTAGGAGAAGAAGCGTGTCATAAAGTCACGTGATACTTATGCAAACACATGACACTTATTACATGAAATAGATGATTTGATATTGCCTGTCAACATGCAGACGAGCAACAATTATTTATTGGCCACTCTGCATGATGAGCCGTTTTCTGCAGCGGGTTCCAGGGGTAACTTTATTAATTCATCGAATGTACTCAGAACACCAGCAAAGTGAAACAAAAAAAGAAAGAAAATAGTTTGGTAGACCTTTTGAATAGCTTAGAGATTTTTTACTAGAAAAAATAGATCTAAGAATTGTCTCGTAAACATTAGCCCGAGAGGAAAAAAGAGAGAGAAAAAGTAAATAAATAAATAGAATAAAAAGGAAACAGCGAAGTTCATTTTGTTGAATTAATATAAGGTTTTGATTGGCTAACGTTGAATTCATTTTCTTTGTTTACTTTGACAGGAGGGCAAACTAGCGTAAATTTTCAAGTCATGAAAATGATACTTCTGCTGAAAACAAAGACATGCCATCTCCACTTACTACATTTGACAGTGAAGTCAGGTAACGATACTCATATTTGGTATTATTAGAAATGACGCCAAATACGAAAAGTAAAAGAATCTGACCTTCACATCCAATAGAACGTAAACCTTCAGACACTTTTCTTACATAGCTTTTTTCTTTGCAAACTAAG